ATCGGTGTATTTTCGTAGTATTAAGAAGAAAAGGATGAAGTGTTGTGTTTTATTATGTAAAAACTACTCAGATAGACGCTCTGATGTTATGGATGGCATCACATTTCATTTGTAAATATTTTTACACCTAATTTATTAAAATAGTTCTAGAAAAATCTCTTTGCGTCGGCTTTCAAATATAATTAAATATATTCGACACTAGATGGCGACACTTTGTGTCATGTGAACTAAAAATGTAAAGGTAGAGCTCAGTATTGGTAAAATAATCATACGAAGGTGCTGAAATTTGTTTTGCATTCAGACATAAAGAAATTTTAATCGCAAAATATCATTTTTATAGTTTATAATCATTTTGAGAAAAGGCCGTATTCTCGTCAAGTAAACCTCATAAAAATGACAAAAAGACAGGGCCCTAATTAGAATTCAATTATTTTTCCCAGTAATCCAACTTTTAATATTAAATGCAGGAAATTGTACTTAGGCTGATTTTTACGAAATGTTTAAGTTATATTTAAGTGCCATTCTATATGCAAAGAATCACTTAAATACAATTTAATGTTCTTTGTAATATTTGTAAATAAAATTATATTAATTATAATAATTTGTCTATTATTTGTTCTCCCTCAGAGATATTAAGTAGTATAACCCACACATAAATAATAATCCAGCCGTTTCTGCGTGAAGAAATTACACATACTTAGTGTGGAATAAGCTCAAGGAGACAGAAAGAGCACACAAAATTTCGCCTTTATAATATTAGTGAGATAAGTAGGATATTTAGTTCCAAATTAAATATCCTACTTAATATTGAACATAGAATATTTAGTTTCAAAGAGACTTTATTTTATGGATAAAAAAATATTTCTTGGTTGACTTTCACGAAATGGTAAACATATTTAAATTGTATTTAAGTGATTCTTTGCATATAGAATGTCACTTAAATATAACTTAAACATTTTTTAAAAATCAGCCAAGTACAATTTCCTTCATTTTAATATTGAATGTTGGGTTACTGGTTAAAATAATTGAATTCTAATGGCGGCCCTGTCTTTTTGTTATTTTTTATGAGGTTTACTTGACGATAGATGGCGGCCTGTTCCCAAGATTATTATGAAAACTACGAAAATATTATATTGGCGATTAAAATTTCTTTGTCTGAATGTATTTGCTTCATGAGATAGACGCTCCGATGCTATGGATGGCATCATATTTCATTTGCAAGTAATTTTACACCTAATTTATTAAATTAGTTCTACAAAAATCTCTTTGCGTCGGCTTTCAAATATAATTAAATATATTCCACACTAGATGGCGACATTTTGTGTCCTGTGAACTAAAAATATAAAGGTACGTAGAGCTCAGTAATGATAAAATAATCATACGAAGGTGCTGAAATTTCTTTGCATTCAGACATAAAGAAATTTTAATCGCCAAAGTGTTATTTTTAAAGTTTATAACATTTTGTGGACATGCCGCCATCTACCGTCAAGGTAGCTAAGCTACATTGCAACATCGATATGGAAAGATTCGAGTAGTTTTACTATTTATCGGTAGATGTAGATAGTGTAGTGGGCGGGGCTTTGCATCCCCTCACCCCGCAAATTGTCACGCGTTGTTACACAGTGAAATTTAATTACAACGTCTCCTCTTTATATTTGCTTCATGCTCAACACCCACGCGGCAAATATAATCGCTACGTTTTACTTAGTGGCTGCACTTTAATACGGTCACGCTATAAGATTTTTATACTTCTGATCAGGGGCTGCATCACAGATTAATAAATATGTAGCAAGCTAGCCTATATTAAGTTAATGCTTCTTATTAGTTTGGGAGTTAATGAGTTGGAGTTGGAATCTTGGTCATTCGTTAGAGATTATGTTCTATGGTAGTTATAAAAGTTAGAAAACAAAGGATTTTGACGGGAACTTGAGCGGCGCGGCGGCGAATTGCTGCTCCTGTATTAATGCTTAGATAATGGTTTGAAGTAGATTTTGATACTAAAAAGTGGTTTGATTTTGTGTATTAAATATGTGCGCATGTGAACTATTAGTGGGAACGGTGAAATAAGTGCTCCGATGGTGATCTGAATCTCAAGATAAAGTGTCTGTCTACCTAGGCGCCTTAAGATACAATCACCAACTGTCTGCTGCCTCAAGTTGCTATCAAAATCTTCCAAAAATTATGCACTATGACGCATCAACATATTGTGAAGCAGTGTACAATAAACAATTATTATCACTTGATACTGAGAAAAATTATGACATGGCTTAAAAAATAAGCATCCAAGCCAAAAATCTTAAAATAAAACAACATTAGGAAACGAACATAAGACCTAATTTATATTACAATTTCATCACAATTAGTACTGTGTTGAACAAGATATTAAAATATTCACATATATATTTTAAACCAGATTTATGCAGATTATTACAAAATGTTGACACGTAAAATGAAACAAAATGTATTTTATGTCTAATGGCTCCAGTACACGTTGGCCGAGCGCGTTTTGGCCCCTCTTTTGGCCAACACAGTGGCGAATGTGTTGGCAGAGATATTGGCCGAGAATTTGTAATCGCGTCCACACGTTGGAAGGTCGTTCAGTTTGCTTCGATTCATGCCAATGTGCGGACGAATTTATAAAAATTATTATTGAAGCGCTAACGGTTGTTGCGGTTTATTTATTCACAGCATACCACTATTTTTTTATTTAATTTTCACTATTTTTAATATTTAATATTTTTAGTATAAATTTTTAATATTTCTTTATTATACACTAACGTTATACAGATAAGTAAACTATATAAACATTAACACACCTAGGCATAGGTATAATTAACTAAGGCCTGGAAAATATTCGAAGCCTGTCTATGAAACTGTTGTAAATTTTTTTATTAAACAAAACCTTTTTAAAAAAGGGTTATTATATAATTATAGAATATATTTATTTATTTACACTTTCATGCACAAAGTAGTACATATGGCGAACTTAATAATAATAATAATAAATAATTTATTTCGTCAAACATTAAAGTTACATTATATGATCAGTGATCGAGGTCACCTAGTAAGCAAAATAATGCCTCTAACAGGTGACTTCGCTCTTCCATAGCTAAAAATTACAGTATTATTAAGGAAATAAAGTACCTAACTAATAGGGAATAATAAAGACAGTAAAAACATGATTTTAGTATCCTAACTTTTAATTTGATTTTAATATCCTACCTAGTCTCCTAGCATTAATAAATTAATAAATCAATTAATACATCAATAAATAAATTAATACATCAATCACTACAACGTGAATGTGTATAAGAAAATGTTGATCAAAAAGAAATGGAAAAAAAGAAATTTTATTTCTTGGCGGCTCCGTGGCGTAGTGGCTTAGCAATGAGTTGCTGCGCTGGAGGCCGCGGGTTCGAATCCCGCACGGAACTAGTATTTGTATAGCCTGCACGTAATTGCTCCGGGTCTGGATGTTTGTCCTTATGCAATTTATGTTTCTAAACTGCCTCCACGATACAGGAGAAAATCCTAGTGTATAATAATATTTTTTTTAAAAAGACTTGTGTTTTACAAACAATTTTCGGCTTGGTAGGGCTCTATAAAGCGAAAAGTTTTTTCATTGGTCATTGTTACTGCCGTTATGTAGACACTATTGCGTGCATATAAACTTTAAATCAGGTGCGTGCATTCACTCTGGGAGCTCGTAGCAAACTGAACGTGCGGCCAACGTGTGGATGCGGCGGCCAATACTCTGCCACAACCCTTTGATCTTTTGTAAAAAACCGACACCAGACGGATCTCGCGCCAACTTGTGGGCCATCGTTCCAATACGTACCAACGTAGCTTAAACACCCGCTCTACACGATGGCCTTCGTTGTTGGCCAACACATTCGCCAGTGTGTTGGCCAACGTGAAGAGCCGCCGTTTGGCGAGCGCGCTCGGCATATTTTCATGGTGCCGTTCACACGTTGGCGTGTTTCATTCTGCGTTGGTAGCTAGATGATGATGGACGTTATCGCGGCAGCTGTAATATACTTATACTTCACTTTCCTCAGAGTTAACGAAAAAGAAACTACATATACAACAATAATCCAAGTTTGTCCTTTTTAGGGTTCCGACCTCAAAAGGAGAAAAGAAACCCTTATAGGATCTACTAGCTGACCCGTGCCCGCTTCGATGCGGTTTTTTTTTTTCAAAATAAAAGATAGCTAAATTATCCCTGAGCAGCATAAACTCAGAGATAATTTATAATAATATTTATCATTAGGTAGGTACTCTGAAAGCGCAACTATACGTGTATTATTTAATGCAGTTAGGCAAGTTGTTACTCTGGTTTTATTTTTATGTTGCTCATGTTTGGGGTTCCATATAATTAATTCACTGTGATAAGAATCAATGAACCTAAATGTTTCCTCATTAGTCCATGTCGCCATGTTCGTGAAATAATTTTATTAAGTCGACACTACACCCTACTCCGACGCGTAACTATGAACTGAACACTCGGCCAACGTGTGATCGCTATTTACGGCTTGCGCCAAATTTCTTTGATTTGTGCATGGAAAACCGACACTATACGGCTCGTCGGCGAGTGTTGGCCGTAAACGCCAAATATATACAAAACGGCCCAGTGCCTGTTGCGTTGGCCGAGCGCGCTTGGCGAGCGCGCTCGGCCAACGTGTACTGGAGCCGTAAGGTCTGACGTCACATTGACGTCATACGTTTACGTTTTAACATTTGACATTTCAGTTTTTCAGTTCAGCACTTGCTACATATATATTTATCTATGGTTCAGCATCTTTCTCCTTTGTTTTTAGTGCTTATATGCAATATCCACAGGACACAAAAATAAATCTAATTATGAAAATTACTTTATATTTGTTAAACTTTTGTCATAAAATATTATTAAGTAAGTAAATGAGAATATTTAAATAGTGTAATAAAATATTCACATGCAAGTACATAACTAGTAAAGTTCATTAATTATTAGGTAAATAGAAATGAAGCCAGGTAAGAGTGTGGAAGTAAAGGAAGAAATCGCCGAAGTTCATACTGCAGCTCGATCGCCTTCTCCGAAACGTAAAGGACATGAAAGGCCGAGAAGTAGATTGGGCTCGCGTAAACTTTCTAATGGACACGCATTAGAACCTGAGCCTAATGAGCCACCTGCAGAAGTAGAAGAGAAACTGAAGTCGTCCGAAAAGACTAAAACGAGAGAAAACTGGATTAACTCAGAACAAGGGTCCCTTGATGTTGAAATTCCTATTCATGATCAAATTAAAATGGGAATATTAGGTTTTGTGGAGAAGGAAATTAAGAAATCTGATAAGAATCCATCTTTTGTTTTTTATTCACATGATCCAAATGGCTTAGAGGAGAGGTTTATGAAAACATTGTCAAGACCATCAAGTGGGCATAAAGAAAAGAGAAGTCCGTCTTACAGGAAGAAGAAAAGGCATTCGTCTCGGCACAGAGATAGAGATCTCCATGATTTTGAAGTTCCTGGGTCAAGTCTCAGTGCATTGGAAAAGGTTATAATTATTTTATTTAATAATAAGGCTTAAGTTTAGCTGTGGACTTGTGAAGGGAACTACATTAATTCTTCTTTTAATTTATAATAGTGTTATATTTTTGTTTTGATACTTTCATTCTAAATATCTCTTAATAATTTTTTAACTTTAATTAAATAAATTTTATAAAGTAATTACATTCCAAGAGATATAATGGAAATATTAGCATATATTGGTACTCTTAATGGCATACTCCTACTGCAAAAATGGGCTGAAGTATGTATCAAATTCATTTATACACATTATTTTAAAATTTTCAGGTAGATGACTATCTAAAAGAGTACAACAAAGATGAAGTTGTAACACTTAGTGGTGAGCTGGAAATTGAAGCCAATGACATTGAAAATAATAATGGTACTACTAAAGAACTACGACATAAACCTAGAAAGACAAGACGAAAAATCAGAGAAGATAGGCATGATGGCAGTCCTAATAGCAAAGACATTAGCCCTAAGGTGTTTAAGACAGGAAGCAAAAGTAAAACAGGAACAAAACTAAGTAAGAATCCTTATTACAGACCTAAAAAATGTAAAATTATTACTTTTTTAGTTCAGTAACATTAATGAACAAGTACCTGGTGGTAAATTAATGCTTTGGCCCCTAGACACATTCTATCCTTTATCCAGGATCACAATAGAGATGCATTATAACCCTTGGTGACTAAAATAAATACCTTGCTACCAGTAAAAAGAGGAAATACATTTTATGATGATATTTTGTGTTAGTGTGGTCCTTCTTTAGTCAAGTTGACCCATTCATGTTGTAGTCATAATATGATGAAGCATAGCTTTCTACACGTAAATGTTATGAACATATTCATTAACTCTCACACCTGGCACCCCAAAGGGTAGGCAGAGTCTATGGACTGTCATTTGGCACAATCCTGACACACTTCTCTCTCTTCATTAAATTATTTCTTTATGTGTAACGAATGGGTCGGCTCAACCGGGGAAGGAACACCTTTCACAGAATACTAGCATAAAATAGCAGCGTAATGCTGCTGTGTTTCGTACAGTTAGTGTAGGAACTGGAGACCCTATTAACAAACAGGAAACAAGGCATTCCATTGTAGTCTTCAGTGGTGACAACGCATCTGCATTTTGATTCTTAACCGAGGATAAAGATAGATGTCTATAAGCCACAGTATCCACTTACCATCAGGTGGACTTTGTGCTTGTTTGTAACCTTATACTATATTAAAAAAAGACTTCAAATCTACATCTAATCTACACATGCTTGTCATTTTAAGGTACTTTTAATTTAGCCTTCATCAATCGATCACTATCTTGGTCAATAAACTTCCATTTTGGGAGTGTTTTGCCTTGCTCATAAGTGATTTATTTAACTATAGCCTATCCTAAACTGTACAGAATATATCCTTTGTAAAATTTACATGCTACAGTTTTCTAATTTCATTTTAACCTTAAGTAGGATAAGTGCTAAATTTCAGATTATTCCAAACTTTTAAGTTTAAAAAATTATAGTGATCTTAACTGCTGGGCTACTTTGTATTTATTGAATAGAATAAAATAATTCAACTTTACTTTATCTTTATCATTGATTCCTTTAAAATTCATAACATGGTGTTGACATGTAACATATATATTATACAATATGGTACAATTAGTATGATGGTATATATAACCATCATACCAATTGTACGATCCTTATCTGTCCATGTTTTAAGTAAATATATCTAACCTGATTGACTTGAAATTTAGTATATGTAAATGCTCACTAAGAACGTAAAATCCGTTATTAGTCCAATAGTCCCATAAAAAACTAAAATCTCAATATTTTACATCTATGTTCCGCTATAATATTATTGTGCGTCCAGCGAAGCAAACTGGTATCAGCTAGTTAGGGATAGATTATCATCATAATAATGATAAGCTGTAATGATTATCATTAAGGTTTGGCTTGTGATGAACTGTAATGATGATCCAAAACTGACCCTGATTTTTCATTTTTCCCATTCTGCTGAAACGAAATAAAAGGTGGGCTCATATCCCGATATGGTAACAAAGTTTCCTGCTGTTTTTTGTTTTTTTCTTGCAGTCCATATATTGCCCATAGGTTGGATATTTGCTATAGTTGCTGCTCTTAGCAAGCAAATTGGCAATTTTTTGTATTAATTTGAGTTGTTTTTAGGAACATTTCAAAAACTATAACAAATGCAACTAAAGCTTAAGCTATGTACTAAAACTAAAGTGGAAATATGCAGGTCACATTGCGAGGCTTACAGACCAGAGATAGACCGTAAAAGCAACATTATGGAGTGGCCCGCAAGGAAGAATAGGCATAGGGAGAGAGAGAAACCCAAGACACAATGGAAAGATGAGGTCAAAAGAATAGCTGACCCAAGCTGTGGCCAAATATAGCACAAGACAGAGACAAATGAGCCTCTTTGAAGGAAGCCTTCATGTAATGGGGTTCTTGCATAAATAACCTAACAAAGCTAACAATAAATCTGAGTTAACTAACCAAATAAGAGATAATATAGAAGCATCAGTAGCTTAATGGCAGGGACGCGGACCGCGAACTCGAAAGTTCGTGGGTTCGAATCCGCCATTCGACTACTGTCGTGAACCACTTCTAACACACGCATTTTAAGCTTACCAGAAGTAGTTAAAGGGAATATTAGTCACGTTTAATAGAATTACTATTATTTTTTTTTAAAAAATATTAAATAAGATACTTCCTAGAAATAAGAAAGTCATGTAATAATGCAAGGAATAAAAGGCTTTACCATTATTTATTTTTGAAACGAAGTTCCTTATCTCACGGTACGAATTTGGCGGATGGGGGCTAGGCGAGAAAAAGTGTAAGATTTTTCCGTCACAACCCCCTTTCTATAGTGCAAGCAACATGGAATAATATCCATCTCCCTCACACTTTTTATTATCTTACCGTGAAAGAAATATTATTATAAATGACGCTTCATTTTAATATATGCTAGTAATTAATTAATTTATATTTGTTAATCAATAATGTAATACGTTTATCAATAATAATATACTACAAAAGGAACTTCGTTCCAACCGAGTATTCCACGACACTTACGCATGTTTTTTTTACTAAATACTTACCTTTTGTGTTTTCAGCTCGGCCAACTGATTTAACTACTATGCTGGAGAGTCTTGAATCAAATGTACCATATCATGACCAGTATATTGATAATCCCTTCTCTTCACCGTCCCCTGTAACTTCACCGAATGATGAAAGAATGGATCCATTCGCCTCTCGCAGAACAGATAAAATATACCTTCAAGGAGGTGGAACATTCCATGCTGTTTCAAAAGACAGGATTTTAGAATCACAGCACTCAAGGGACGAGAATAAGTATTTAAGGTAACTAATTTACTTATTATTATGTAATTAACAGCCTCTAAATATCTCAGTACTGCTCAGTCACGTTACTTGTAAAGAGTACATTGAAAGGTGAAAAGTCTTATACAAAGGCCAGGATGAATCGTGTTGTATCTCTTTTGTATCATCAAATTTATTCAAAGAAACATGTGTCCCAACTAACTGACAGACGAAACTCTGATGTGGGCATCTGGTATGAGGCATAAATCCATCATAAATTGTTAATTGCAATTTAAATTGGTGATTAACCACATGCTCGTTGGTAAAGCAAGCGTGAAGAAACCTTTTTTTTTATAGGATAGTGTGACAAACGAGCACACAGTCCACCTGATTGTAAGTGGTAGCTGTGGCCCATAGACATCTACATCTATCCTCGTTTGCGAATCAAAATGCAGATGCATTGTCACACGTTGAGGACTAAGGTGGAATGCCTCTTTTCCAGTAAAAAGGGCCTCCGGACACCTGCACTCACCGAGCGAAACGCAGATGTAAACCTCTACTTCACGCTGGTATTCTGTGAGGTCGTGGTACCACCCCGGTTTGAGCCGGCCCATCCGTGCGACAGCAAAAGCTTTCGCGTGGCTCGACCACTGTATGAATAACAGATTTTAATATATATATAACCTGAGGAATAAAAGATTTTAAGGCCTTAAAAAAGTTATTTTTTTACATGGTAGAACTACATTGCAGTTTTGCAGTGTATTATGGCTACTGCAGGAATGGATCGGCACATTCTCACAAAATGCCAGTGTACAATAGCAGGTTAATGCTGCTGTATTTCACACGTGATGAGCACCAGATATCTTATTACTGGTATTGAGGTATAGCACTTTAGTATCTAACTTAACAACGCATCTGCATTTTGATTCTTAATCGAGGATAGATGTAGGTGTATAGCATCCACTTACCATCACGTGGATTGTTTGCTTCTATAGGAAACCCTTTCGCACTGATCGAAAATGGGCCATGGGACGTTATCATTATTTCGACGTAATAGTACCAGTCTCTTATACATCAACATTAAGTTATTAAAAAAAATATTTCAGATTAGGCGATTTAACGCCATTGGATGTGGCCCTTACGGTGCAAAAGGCCTGGCGCAGTTGTGCGCCCGCCTGTCACGGAGTACTAGGAGGGCTTTCGCTAATGCATCTGTTATTGATCAGTTATTCGGACAATCTTGATGGTGGCCATTTATCTTTCCATGCAGTTGTCACCATGCCATATGTGGCGACCTATTACTTCTTCTGCGTTTTATGTCTGCTCTCCGTGTTGGACAGGTGTGATATAGAATTTTATCTTATGTTAATATTAACGTGTCAAAGAACAATGGCCATTTTGGACTAGAACAAAACATAAATTGTTATCGATATCTGAAACTATCACTAAAATGTAGAACATTGTCAATTTAATCAATGGATATCTTCGGTTTATTTTTAAAAGCTGTGAAAACTTAAATAATCGTCTTTAACAAAATATAACTTTGCTTATCAGAATGCAGTATTAAATATCTTATTATTGAACACATCTGTAGTTATTTATGTTCCTAAACAAAGAGTATTAAAGAACTATGTTTTACTTGGTTTTACTAGATAAATCTATACGTACCAAAGAGTATATAATCTAATAAATAGTACTCTGTGATGTAATCACTACTTTAAGTCCTCACTTTTTCTAAAGTCTAAATCGATTTTGTTGCTGAATCGAAATTAAATTGTAGATAATGGCAACCATATAAACTTATGTTAATTATTGAACTAAGAAAAATCTTTAATTTTAAAATGTTACAGGTCATTAATAATCCACATAACCTAAAATATTACATAATTACTAGACTCTCCGTACTTTTAAAAATATACTGATTGCTGTACTTTGTTATATTTAAATTGACAAATGAAACGACATAATTATATTTTATTTAGTTACGTTAGGTACATTAGAATTAACTAATCCAAGCATGTTAGGAGAGTGGCCATTGTTCTTTCTGTCACGGCCATGGATTTTGAATAGAATATCCACTACCCCATATTGTCCTGTGGTTGTCCTAAGAGGCGACAGAGACCTATTTTCAGCAGTGGACTTTTATAGGCTGTAACGGATAATAACTTGTCTTTACTGATTCATAAAACCATCTGTTAGTTCTTTTCCTATGTTTACGTGAACACTACACATTTAAATAAAAGTTAGTTTTATTTAAATCTGTTAGTTCATTTGTCACTTCAATTTTATATTTATATATATAATTCTTATGTACGTGTGTTTATCACGTTATGTACATTTTTGGTGTGTGTTTGAGTGGGTCCCTGGGTGGTTTAGATTTACAATTGGATCCGGTAGATGGTGTTGATGCCGAGATTCAGAAATCACCCGTGCGAAACCGGGGTGGATCGCTAGTTTAATATAAAAAATAACTTTTTTTCTGTACTTTTCTAAACCCAGGTACCCTTATGTTAAAACCAATGACATTTTAATAGTAATTTCCTTTTTTTGCCTTGGGGTATGGTGTAAAAGTTGCCAACACCTAATGTCGTTATGTCTGCATTATAAGAGTTGATGACATGTCTACAAAGATATTTTATTAGTTTCTTACTTATATATTATTTTAAAGTAGTTCTTATTTAAAGGCAGCAGTTATATCGTTGACCTTAAATCTAGGAACGGCGTCTACTAAGCGTGGGAATTATGTCAAATCCTCATGATTTTATTTATAGGCTTGACGTGACGAGTATAGACTTGAGCCGCGGCCTCCAGCCGTGGTTCCAGCCGATAGTCCTAGTTATACTGTACACCGCCTGTCTACTGGTTTGCACCGCGGCCAGGATGTACGATGAACTCATGGTCTATCAATATGCGCCCTTAGTTGCCAATCTCACTAGCAACGTGACCACGGTTAGTATCTTACGGGGCTACTTTCTAATTCAAGTTACAGGTAGGTACTGGATTCAATAATTGTTTAAAACTACTACTGGGTTATGAAATTGAGAATTGAAAGAAAAAAATGTTGATACATGCAAACTGAAAAATCAAATTAAACTTACAGCCTATATAAGTATTTCACCCACTGCTGTGCACAGGTTTCTCTCCTTGAGTGTTGATTGATCCTGGCTGGTGTTCGCAACTCTACGTCTAAGCGCGTATTTTGCATGTGAGGAGTAAGACAGAATGCCTCTTTTCCAGTAAAAAGGGTATCCGGTTCTCGACACTCACCATACCAAATAGCAGTGTTAAGCTGCTATTTTACGCTGGTATTCTGTGAGAGCGTGGTCCTTTCCCGGTCGAGCCGACCCATTCGTGCTACAACTATACTACTAATATAGCTGCAGCATTGCTCTACCACATATTGTATTATTTATATTGCCAATAACCTCGATTAGCTAGCTCCGTTATCCGAGTTACTTAGCTCTACAGAGCAACCGCTGGAAAATCAACTAGAATCTGGACTGCGGTTCCCTCGTGCCTTATGCAGGCTCTGCACTAAAGGCTGTCTGTAATATCTTAAGTAATGTTATGTTCTGAGGGTTAGCTCATGAGCTAACATTGGTTTTCTTTTGTTCTTGATACGTATGAAAACTATTACACACATTGCTGCGGTATGATGTATGCAGCACGGGATGGCTCGATCGAGGAAGAAGAAGGTTCGCATAGAAAACCAGTGTAATACAGCAGCATACTGCTGCTGTTTCCACTGCTGCTGCACCAAACACCCATTTTACTGGTTATGAGGCTTTCAATTTTAGACCTCAAGGGTAACAATACAATTGCAATTTTATTCTTAATCGAAGATAAAAGTTTTTTTTATAGGATAAGGGTGACAAACGAGCACACAGTCCACCTGATGGTAAGTGGTCGCTGTGGCCCATATACATCTACATCTATCTTCGATTAAGAGTCAAAATGCAGATGCGTTGTCACCCGTGAGGACTAAGATGGAATGCCTCGTTTCCAGTAAAAAGGGTCTCCGGTTCTCTACACTCACCATACGAAACACAGCAGCGTTAAGCTGCTATTTTACGCTGGTATTCTGTGAGAGCGTGGTCCTTCCCCGGTCGAGCCGACCCATTCGTGCTACAACCATAATATAGATGCAGCATGGCTCTACCATGTATAAAGCCGTAGATGTTTGATGCGTCAGTAGCCTAATGGTAGGGTGCAGATCTGAAACTTCAAAACTCAAAACGTCATGGGTTCGAATCCGCTATTCGACTACTCTCGTGAATCGCTCCTAGCACAAGCCTTTTTAATTTTACCAGGTGTGGTTAAAGAGAATGTAAGTTAGAGAATATGTTAATAGCATTGCTGATATTTAAAAAAAAGAAATGTCTTTGGGCTGCAGCATCCACTTACCATCAGATAGATTGTATGCTTGTTTTCGAGCCCTTATCGTTTAATTTTTTCATACCTTATTATCGTTTTTTTTTTCAGCCAACTATACCAACGTTTTACCACACGTGGACGCATTTTTCAATCTGGCGAGCGGTGCTCTCGATCCTTGGATTGGTTTATTTCATAATATCGAATCCACCGGACCTCGTGCATACAAATCTCAGCAAGCTTTTGCAATTCAAACATTCCTTGCAGAGTATTGGATGATTGATGAAATTGAAGTATCTGTTACATAGTTACTATTTGTTATAACTTTGTGTGCGTGTGCGCGCGCGCACGCGCGCGTGCGCGTGTGTGTGTGTGTGTGTGTGTGTGTGTGTGTGAGTGTGACTACACTTGAATTATCAATATGCATGAATGAGAGAAAATAATGTTCCGCTCACCAGATGTTGCAAATTGACACCGAGGTGAAGAATTTTGGTTATATAAAGTAATATAATTGAGAAGTTAGTTTTATATAAAAGTTTATCTGTTTCTAGAGTTATCTTTATTAATAAACAAAACAATGCCTCAGTGGTTTGCTCTTTAATTGTTTGCACATTTTTAACTCTTTTTTTAATTTTCTTTTTTATGAATATCTCTGGTTTTGTTTATTTATTTTTAATCTTATTATTAAAAATATATAACAAATATAAAAAATATTAATCGTTACACTTTTCGAACAAGTTAACTTCCCGCTATGAAATCTGTCAAATATTTCACCTAAGTTAATTAATCTTATAATTATAGCTTTATAAAAACATAAAATTACATTTTCACTACGTTTTGAGTATTTCAATTGATACGACGAGTATCAATGAGGGTTTCCACGAAATTTTCTGTCACCAAGCGGCGCCACTTGGGAAGGATGTAAAATATTTGACAGATTTCATGGCGGAGGAAGTAAATTTGTTAGGAAAATGTAAGGCTTAACGTTTCTTTCTGATTTTTTTATATTTTTTATATTTATTAAAGACGTTGTTAAACCAAACAACGGACATAAAGAAGAAGAATTAAGAAGAGAAACGAATTACATGCAATAAGTTTAGGCGCGAAACACTAATGCCCAAATACTCATACGCTGCTTAATTTTAAGATGTCCCCATGTCTCGTGCTCTCTCTATCTTAAATTTGAGTAGCTTTTTAGTGTTTGGCCATAAGACATTGTTTTGTGTATTTGCATACTATATAAACCTTTATAATTTTATTTAAAACTCAACTTTTCATTAATAATGCCATTGTGTAACAAATAACTTCACCTCAGTCACAACTAGTGACATCTGGTGAGTGAAAGATTATATATAGCCCTCATTGCGAATAATAAATCAATATTTTTTAACAAAATTGTAATCCCTGAAACTGTACTAATTCAAACTATACAAGCAGTTAATTCATGCTTGTTTTAATTGTTTTCTTAATCTTACAAGAATTACAACACATTTACTACAAATTATTTGACGACGTTAGTATAAAATTGCTTTATATCAAAAAGTAAAAGTTACTATTTAAACAATTGAAAATTATAATTATAATATTGTAACAAATAAACAGATATTTCATAAATTGAATGAGAAGGACATTATACATTGTGTCCCTATGTTTTTCTTTTTTCGGTGTTAGTTGTCAAATTTGAACACTAGCCCTCAGTTGACAGCGGTGTAAATAGGCAACATTGAGCATTTGTAAGGGTTTATAGTGCTTATAAAGATAATGTATCATCAAAAAAGAATACATAGTTGAGGTTGATATTTATTTTATTGTAAAAACTCATTGCTATAAGGTCTTAAACCAGAAAGAAGACAGGCGAGAGCGTTTATATGGAGAAAAAAATCACCCGCATTTCCTCTTAATAGTATTTATTAAATTTTGTAAGTTTTTGTGTGTTTTTGTATTTGTTAAATTTTGAAAGGATCTCAATAATTTGTTTATCTAGTCACACATTCCAAACAATTTAAACATAAGTAAAACACTCTGTAACATGCCAAAAGATATTTTTAGTAATATTTAGTTCTAGTCATTTCGCAAAGTAAATGGTAATAATAATTGTCGAATAAATTTTGGACAGTATGAAAATAAAATAAATTATAGTATACACCTAGGGACAAATTTAGCGGAACGCAATAAAAGAAGGTTTTATTTCGCTCTGTTTTAATCATCGTGCGTACTAGTGGTACTGGCCACAAACATTATGCTCCACCAAATCTAAGAAATACCTTTTGACAGCTGTTAGATTTATATTTATTAGGATGGTTGACATAACCCAAAAATCGGTACCTACAATATTCGATTCTTAACAGAACTCGATATTGATTTTTTAGAGTTGGTAATCATTTACCGTTTTATCTAGACTAATACCAGAATAGATTAAAAAAAGTTAAAGTTACAGCATATATTCGTCCCAATGCTGTCGATGGGTGTATTTTAAATTAACTATTTCTTATATTTGTGCGAACACATTGAATAAAACTAAAAATATTTTAGAATAGAATGTTAGTGGTAATTCGCACAAAACTATTATACCTAAATGGGTGAACTTCTTGCGGCGATTATATAAATAATTAATTAATAACGTTTCCATGCAATTTGGAAGATTGTTAATTTAAGTTTATATTATTTATATAATTTAATTTATATTATTTTTCAACATTGGTAGAGCCACGCGGCAGCTTTTGCTGTCGCACGGATGGGCCGGCTCGAACCGGGGTGGTACCACGACCTCACAGAATACCAGCGTGAAGTAAAGGTTTACCTCTGCATTTCGCTTGGTGAATGCAGGTGGCCGGAAGCCCTGTTTACTGGAAATGAGGCATTCCATCTTAGTCCTCACGGGTGACAACGCATCTGCATTTTGATTCGCAAACGGGGATAGATGTAGATGTCTATGGGCCGCAGCAACCACTTACCATCAGGTGGACTGTGTGCTCGTTTGTCACCCTATACTATAAAAAAAAATTAATTTAAAATTAGCACTAGAATGAATTTATTATAGACTATAAAATAATTATAATTTATAGCAGTACTTAACGTTATATCATTGTTATATTTGGATGATGATGGGAGTAGAATTGAACGTGTATGTTCGTGATGTTACCTTCTATGTAATTATAATGATATAATTGGTATATAAAATAAATTTTAATAATAATGACAGATGGATTAATTGGGTATCTGACACGAATATTACATTAAATACTATCGTTTATTAATGTTAGAAACTTAGTCAATAAACAGATTGTATTGTTAGAAAATATAAAGACGCGGTGTTTATTTGACTACGCGACAATATCCCGTCATTAATATGTATTATTGCGCTCTTACTTACACAGTTAATTATTAACAGCTGTAAAACAGCGTAAATCACTGCACATTCATCATAGCACGATTACAATTCGAATACCGTAACACATGTTGATCCTAAATTACAATATCGCGTGTAGTGTAACGTGCACGTAACTACATGATAACATCTAAATAGATTAAGTATACAGACCAATAAAAATTATCAAGATGTAGGTACACTGTTCAGCTTTACCGCAGAATATTTTTCTTTGCTTTTCCTAGCGAAATAATTACAATGCCCAGTATCAATATGCAAGAACTTGGTAAAATTTCGTGACAAAACTGATTGGAATAAGCCATAAGTATATATGTAATGTACTGTATGTCTGTACTTTAAACATATCCTTCGATTTTTGGGCTTCATCAATATCAATCAATATCTTAGTAAAGTTAAGAATGTATATAATATAATTCGTACACAAATATTATTTTGTGATTAAAAATAAACGTTGTGTAATAAAAAGTTATTTGTGAGAATTTGTTGTTTTATTAACACTGACCGAGAGCTAACCGTGCATTATTTTGAGTTTTGAGACCCACGTTATAAAGTATGGATGCGACTCGCCGCCCTTCGCCAACCGCCGCGCCGCACCGTTGGGTTATAATAGTGTGTGCACTTTGCACAAATAAAAGTGTTCTATGAACGTCACGTAATAAGAATATTGACTATACAGGGTTATTTTTCAGAGCAGGCAAAATTTAAACTTAAGTTTAAATATATAAATAATGATATACCGATATTGCAGTTTTTGAAAATACGAGTAAATAAGGCTTTACTTCTTTTTTGAAATTTTCCCAATTTACAAAAAACAATTTATGGGCAACTACGCGTACGCGCGCCGCTCTGTGTGTGATTCAATTTGCCGATACCGATCCACGGTCGACCTTTACGAATGTGTGCGTACGTAGTAAAGTAGTAAGCGTTAGATATTTATGAATGCCAACCAGTTATAATTAAAAATTGAAAATTTTGTACAGCCGACTTCAATATAAGTTATTTAAGAATAACTCAATAACCATTGGTCTGACCTTGATCAAATTCATATGGGACCACACGAGAACTATCAGCTTTCATATAAAAAGGATCATTTTTAAAGGATATGATAATGATAAAGGGTGCTAAGAATCTCCGGTGGAGGTTCGGTTGCCACCTACGACGACTCGACCTGGCAACATACAACGCACGCACCCTGAGGACTGAGGAGAAGATTGTGGAGCTGGAAGAAGAGATAGACAAGTTACGCTGGCATATTATAGGATTATCCGAAGTCCGAAGAGAGGGGGAGGACACGGTAATCCTCGAATCCGGCAACTTGCTGTATTACCGGGAGGGCGACCATCTGTCCCAAGGAGGTGTCGGATTTATCGTCCACAAGTCTCTCGTTAACAACGTTGTAAAGATTGAGAGTGTGTCGACGAGGGTTGCGTACCTTATACTCAGAATCACCAAACGGTATTCGCTGAAGGTCATACAGGTTTACGCACCAACCTCGGCACACCCCGATCAGGAGGTGGAGGAAATGTATGAGGATATCTCTAGAGCCATGCATTCCTCCAAAACCCAATATACGGTGTTAATGGGAGACTTCAATGCAAAACTAGGCACAAGAGAGAACGGTGAGCTGAAAGTAGGGAAATTTGGAATAGGGCAACGGAACCCAAGGGGCCAGCAGCTGGCCGACTTCATGGAGAAAGAGGGACTCTTTATGATGAACTCTTTCTTCCAGAAGCGGCCCCACAGGAAGTGGACCTGGTCGAGCCCCGACGGTTCGACAAAAAATGAGATTGACTTCATTATGACGACCAGACGACAACTGTTCAGTGATGTCTCAGTGATCGCGAGGGTGAAAACCGGCAGCGATCACCGAATGGTTAGAGGCACACTGAAC